AGCCTGTAAATTGAGGCACAGAACAAGCAAGGCAGCTGCACACTGGTCCGATGATCAAAGAGTGAGAGACAAGAAAGGTGAGGTTCACTGAGCCATTTATCTCTCCGCCCTTCAATTAATCCCACTTATGTTTATCGACCAGGCTGGCACAATAAACTAACTATCTCAGCATGAAAACATGAAACACTTCCAGATACACTAAAATAGCTTTAAGATGGTAACAGTAATAATAAAAGTGTTTTGATGTGTTTGGCAAAGTAGTATCCTATTGTTATTATATGCCTCAAACTTTTATTTCTTTAAAAAAAAATCATTTTATTGGGGGCTCTTACAGCTCTTATCACAATGAATCCATCCATCCATCGTGTCAAGCACATTTGTACATATGTTGCCATCATCATTTTCAAATCTTGAGCCCTTAGTATTTCTCCCTCCCTCACCTTCCCTCATGAACCCTTGCTAATTTATAAATTATTATTATTTTTTCATGTCTTATACTGACCGATATCACCCTTCACCCACTTTTCTGTTGTCTGTCCCCCGGGAGTGGGTTATATGTAGATCATTGTGTTCAGTTCCCCTTTTCTACTCACACCTTCCCTTTCCCCTTCTGGTATGACTATTCTTATTATTCATCCTGAGGGGTTTATCTAGCAGGATTTGTAAGGTAGAACTGGGGAAATGGAAGCATTAAAGAACCAGAAGAAAGCTGTATATTTCATCGGTGCTATAACACATCCTGACTGGCTCTTCTCTTTCCTGTGACCTTTCTGTAAGGGATGTCCAATTGTCTACAGGTGGGCTTTGGGTCTCCACTCTGCACTCCCTCTCATTCACATTGACATGATTGTTTGTTCTGGATTTTGACGCCTGATACTGATGCCGTCGACACACAGGCTGGTGTGCTTCTTCCATGTGGGCTTTGTTGCTTCTCAGCTAGATGGCGCCTTATTTATCTAGAAGGCTTGAAGACCCCAGATCAGGCATCCTCAAACTATGGCCCGCGGAGGACATTTATCCAGCCCGCCGGATGTTTTTGTCCCATTTGTTTTTTTACTTCAAAATAAGCTATGTGCAGTGTGCATAGGAATTTGTTCATAGTTTTTTTTAAAACTATAGTCCTGCCCTCCAGCGGGTCTGAGGGACAGTGAATTGGCCCCTGTTTAAAAAGTTTGAGGACCCCTGCCCCAGATGCTATATTTTTCGATAGCCAGGCAGCAGCATCTTTCTTCGCCACCTTTGTTTATGTATCCATTTTTTCTTCAGCAATAGTGTTGGGAAGGTGAGCATCACAGAATGCCGGGCTATAGGAACAAAGTGGTCTTGTGTTGAGGGAGGACTACCTCAGACTTCTCGTATGCTAGGCGTTATGGGAAGTGGTCTGTAACTGTAGGTTTTTTGTAACAAGAGACTGTGTGTTCTGTGGTTCTGCTGCCTGGTTGGATGAGCGGACACTTCACCTCCTGGTCCTTCCTTGGCTAGAGCTGAGTTTACCTGAGATTCACTGGAAGCTTTCTTTCTTTTTTTTTTTAACCAGAGCCGGCCAATATGGCTTTTTCTCTCAGCAGGATAATGGCAGTACTTCCACAAACTGAAGTACTGTAATTGCAGCCTGCTTTTCACTGGAAGCTTTCATCTGTTGCTGCTGTTGTGAGCTGCCCTTGTGTCAGCCCTGACTCATATGACCCCCGCGAAATGGGTCAAAGTGCTGTCCAGGCCTGTGTCATATCTAGGATCAGTAGCAGACCAGTTTTAATGTGATCCATCGGGTGTACATCGGCTAATTGTCAGAAGTCAATCATTGGGTTTTTCTTCCTGACCTACCTTACTTTGGGAGCCATTGACCTCTGTTCTGCATCAGAGCACTACATATGCCATCACAGACAGGTGACGGCTGCACTTGGAGCACAACACTCAAGGCTAATGTTCTTGGTGACTTAGGCTAAACTAGTGTGTGATTTAAAGACTTTGTGGGCTATTTTTGAGTTCAGACATTGGTCAAAACCCTGGCAGAATCAGAATGACTCAGATGGCATACAGTGTAGCAGAATTTTCCCTGTCTGCGCTTGCCTCTGGTTTTTACACATGGAGGGGCTATTCAAACCATACTAATTTGAATTTCACTTCTATCTCTTCTATGAATCTGTCTCAGAGCACTCCCTGCATGTTTTAACGGATTTTAATATAGCCTTTCATCATTTCCTGTGTTCTAGTCTCATGTCATACTTCCTCATTTCCCACAGCACAGCACAGAGCATGGTGTGGACAGGATTCGCTGAGCCTGCTGGACCGTTTCTCGCTCCAAGAAGCCCAGTTAGAGTTATCAGAAAAGCCTAGGGTGAGCTGAAGAAGGTTTCCTTACGAGGTTAAGCCCTCCAAAAGACTATGCTGAAGCCAGATTGATTATGGATTTTTAGCTAGTCTGATGTTTTCAACATTAATTTTATTTGTTATTAATTGCTGTTGAGTGTATTGTTGAGCTGTGGCTATTGAGCACATACAGTAGAACAAACACCCACTCAAAAACTTCTACATGTGACAATGACCATCTTTAACTTAGGCAACCACCCACACTCTCATGAATTCACTGCCCCCACCCCACCCCACCCGTGTCCTCTCTAAGTTTTTGAATTGCTATTGTCAACTTCATCTGATCTTGATAAGTCTTTTTAAAAAGCACAACACTCAAGGCTAATATGCATTACTAGTTAAGCTAAACAACAGCTTGGATTAAAGACTTTGTGGGATAATTTTTAGTTTAAGGTTTCAAGATAATCCCAGGACGTTTCAGGGGTTTACCCAGGGTCATGGTGTGGGGGGAGGTCAGATGCGCAGGCATTCCCCCACTGAGGGCAATCAGTTGCCAGACTGCTCTCATCCCTTCACAGGGTGGGTCTGCTCCCTGCCTCTGGGGACAATGGACAGGCTCCTGTAGGAGGAGTTCGCATCCTACTGATAATGGTTCCTATGGAGACCCAGAGACCACCCCCTAGACCAACCCCTCATTACTGTGCAACCTATAGTGCAGCCCCTTCCTGTGACATGTGTCTCTACCTATAATTAGTGGGCTGGCATGCCCCCAAAAGGTATATAGGTGTGAGTCAGCAATATAGAGCTCTCTCTGACTCTCAGCTCCTTGCTGCTCACTCCCTGGTCACTCCCCTCTCCCTTGTGCCCTTCCCCTCCTTCCCTTCCCCCTCTCTCCACGTGGACCACCATGCTGGGCTGAGGTGAGCAATGGTACCATGTAACATGCCTGGCTGTATTATTGTATTATCTCTCATATTCTCAATGACTTGAATATAATGCTTATATATCTCAACCATACAATTGTACTTACTGAATCCAAGTAGTAGTAATATTAGTAGCAGCGGGTGGGGGCTGGCACCCCACTCCCCCGCGCCATCTTTTTAATTTAATACTACATCATGGCTCTAGAAATGTGGGATTCTATGAGAATTTAAAATTCTACTTGGCAGTTTCCCCCTTTTCATCAGGATTCTTCATGTTACACATCTCATATGCTCGTCCACTTCTGACTGTCCTTGGTTGCTCCAGGCAAATGGAGATCAATTGCTGTACCTTGGGTGGACTCTTGCAAGTTTGAAAGACGCCAGGTACTACACCACAAATGAGGAGGTGGAACAGAAGCATTAAACATGATTTTAAGCTGATTAACTCGGAGGTGCTGGGAAATTGTGCCCCCTAAACCTCCAAACAAAAACCAAATCCCATGAGGTGTTTGGTTTCACATAAGCAGCCTCAGCTGCTACTGTTTTTGTAGCTGCAAATATCCCTGTCATGCACCTCTGTCAATTCATCTTCTTAGGGTGTTCAAGTCAATGACAGCAATTAAACTAATCACCTTTGCAACTTTCACCCTTAATGTGATTTTTAATTGTTATTAAAAGAGAGAGAGAGAGAGAGAGAGCAAAAACTCAGTGGTTTATAAACAATAATCATCTCCCTCCTTTTCCTTTCTATTCTGCTCCCCTTAACCATTAGTAAGCTTTGGTCTCTATACAGTTTATATTTTCCTATTTTTCATATAAATGGGGTTGTACATTTTTATATACGCGAGGTCATACAACATTTGTCTTTTTGTGGTGGACTCATTCACTCACCATACTGTCTTCAAGCTCTGTCCATATTGTTGCATGTATCTGGACGTCATTCTCTTACAAGTAGGATTTCATTGAATGTAGGCACCACATTTTATTGATCTATTGACGGCATTTAGATTGTTTCCACCTTTTTTCTATTGTGGATATTGCTGCGCTGAACATTAGTATACACATGTCTGTTTATGTCTCTACTTTCAAAGCCCCTGGGTATATAACTAACAGTGGAATTGTGGGCAAGGTGGATAAGGGGTTGAAGTGCCATGTCAGGTCAGTCAACAGGTCACTCATCTGTCTCTTCTCATAGTTAGTATTCAATCGCATCCCTATTCTGAAGCTCAGAGTTCCAGGATCACTATCCACATCTCTTTCATTTAGTCTCCCACGTCTTTGTTTTAGAGGGTCTTGATAACATATACATCTCATCCACCATCTTGCCAGAAGTCTCAAGGCTGTAATCTTTGAGGAAGCAGATAGTCACATCATTCTCCCAGAGAACAGCTGATGGGTTCAAACTACCAATTTGTCAGTTAGCAGCCACCGTACCAGTTCTTAACCACTGGACCACCAGGGCTCCTTTTAGCCAATCTAATTGGAGTGATCCATATTTGTGCCCATTCCAAATAAAGGTGATGTAGCAGAATGTAGAAATTATTGAACACTATTCTTTCTTTTCTTTTTTTTGTTATAATTAAAACAAATTTTTATATCATTTTATCGGGGGCTCATACAGCTCTTATCACTATCCACACATACATCCACTGTGTCAAGCACATTTGTACATTTGTTGCCATCATCATTCTCAAAATATTTGCTTTCTACTTGAGCCCTTGGTATCAGGTCCTCATTTTCCACCCTCCTTCCCTGCACCCCCTCTCTTATGAACCCTTGATAATTTATACATTATTATTATTATTTTGTCATATCTTACACTGTCCAACATCTCCCTTCACCCACTTTTTTGTTGTCCATCCCCCAGGGAGGAGGTTATATGTAGATCCTTGTAATTGGTTCCCCCTTTTCACCTCACCATCCTTTCACCCTCCCGGTATCACCACTCTCAGCACTGGTCCTGAAGGGATCATCTGTCCTGGATTCCTTGTGTTTCCAGTTCCTATCTGTACCAGTGTACATCCTCTGGTCTAGCCAGATTTGTAAGGTAGAATTGGGATCATGATAGGGGGGTGGGCGGTGATCACGAGGTGTCGAAGGGATCAGACATCAAAGAACAAAAAATCATATCATTGTGTGCTCACCTGACATGATCACTGAAGACAAATGGGTGCATAAGCAAAAGTGTTGAAGAAAGCTGATGGTGCTCGGCTATCAAAAGATATAGCGTGTGGTGTCTTAAAGGCTTGAAGGTAAACAAGTGGCCATCTAGCTCAGAAGCAACAAAGCCTACATGAAAGAAATTATTGAACACTATCATTACTATACACACAAGTAAATTTTTGTTGAATTTTAAAAACAGTTGCAGCAGTACATCAACAGTGAACTGCCAGAAACCTAAGCCAAGTTAGAAGAGGATGAGGAAGGAGAGATATTATTGCTGATGTTAGGTAGATCTTAGCTGAAAGGAGAGAATAACAAAAATATGTTTAACTGTGTTTTAGAGACCATACAAAGACATTTGACTATGTGGACCCAAACAAATTATATATAACATTGTGAAGAATGGGAATTCCAGAACACTTCATGGTGGTCATGCAGAACCCGTACACAGACCGAGGGTTCCCCTCACCCCTCGCTCAGGAACCTGAATTATCAGAACTCTACTGTTTTTACAATTTTCCTTCTTCCAGGGCATTCCAAATTTCAACCATGTAGAATAATGTGTGAGAGGTGGAGTCTGGCCTCTTACACAGGGAGATCTGGGTTGGTGAAATCTGAATATATAAAATACATTTGTACTGTGTTTTTGTGTTCTGAAAATATACTCATTTTCATGATCTACTTTGTCCTCCTAACGCTGTGAAAGGTAGATGTGATTACCCTCATTCTGTGTTGGTTTCAAGACTCCGAGGTGAGCACCCCTCTTAGAGGTCTGTCCCATCACCATTCTCTAATAATTGCCCACTTTAATTTCAGAGAGGGCTCCCTGGTGCCGTGTTTCCGATTTATCTAATGTAGACCTCTGGACTCTAAATAGTTGCGATGTCTGCAAGACACACATATCTAGGTCAATCAGTTTTTCTCTCTTGAGAATTTAAACTGAGAGATAACAAAAGTCTCTGTGATCTCTGGGGAGATAAACTGTTCGGACTATGGGAATCCCTAAGTGCAGTTTACGGACCCTTAAGCTGGCAACTCTGCACTGGCCCTAGTCACTATTCTTCCCTCCCATTAGCCCTTCCGGATTCTTTCAAACACCTTACATTTTTGTGAATAACTCTAGTTCCTTGAAATGAATAACCCTTTCTTGCTAAAGTTACATTGAATTGGTTTCTGTGGCTTGCTATACTAAAAAGCCTTGCCTGACACGAGCTAAGATGTTAAGATATTTGTTCAAAGTCACAGAGCTAGTAAGTGACTAACCTACATTCTGAACCCAGGTCTGTCTAACTCCCAGTATAATATCTTATCCTTAGCCCATAGACACTGGTCAAGCAGGACCCATGAGTGGCAGTATTAATGCATTGAGACTTTATTGAACCCAATCTGAAAAGTTGAAAGCCCTCCTTCTTAGTTCTTGTCTCAATATGTGGGATTATAAAGAGACTTTTCCCCAGCTTTGCCTCCCCCAAAGACATGCCAAACATTAGGGGCCTTTTGCTAGCATATGGGGGGAGGTCAGATGCTTAAAGACATCCTCCCTGAAGGCATTCAGTTGTCAGACAACTAACTTCATGGTCCCACAGGGAGGCCCTGCTCCCTGCTGTTAAGGACAATGGGCTACTTCTCCCTAAAGGCTTGTGACCATTAGCTTGGTTGTGGAGGTGGGGTTTACACCGTCCTGATAATGGTTTCTATGGAGATCCAGAGACCAGCTCAAACCTGCTCAGTGACATCCAAAGTTAGGCTGCCATCCTGAATCTAGGATCCACCCTTTTTGTCACATGTGCCCCCAATCCCTCCTCTTCCTATTGCATGTGTGTCCCTAGATTAGTGCAACCCCTTCCTGTGACATATGTCTTCACCTGTAATTAGGAGGCTTTCATGCCCCCACTCCCCAAAGAGATATAGACTTGGGCTAGCAGTAAAGAGCTCTCTTGGGCTCCCCACTCTTGGCCTCTCATTGGTTCCCTCTCTCCTCTCCTGTCCTCGCTCCCCTGTTCCCTTTCCCCTTGTTCCCTTTCCCCTTGTCCTCCTTCCCCTGCCCCTATCTCCACATAGACCACCAAGAGGGGCTGAGGTGAGCATGCTACCATGAAATGTGTCTGACTCCATTATTTCAATCTCTCTTCTATCTCTCATGCGCTCTATGACTTTATTATAATCTTTATATATATTAACTGTACAATTGTGCCTACCGGACCCATGATGATGTGCTAGGGGCTGGTTTATGCCGACATCATTCCACCTACCTTGTCTCTAGTCTATCTTCTTTTTCTCAAAGTAGATGAAGTATTTGTTCAGAGATACAATTAGAGTGAACTCAGAACTGATTTGGGTTAATAGATGGGAGAGAACGAAGGAAATAGAGAAGAATTCATCTCCATTGTTTTCCTTGTTTATCAATCTTAGTCCCAGTGACTTCAGAAGAGGTTTTAGCTCTCTCAGGGTGATAGGTTGTGGGGCCTGCTGTCCCAGACCATACCCAAATAAAAGGTTCTCGGAGAAATGAATTGCATCTTTCCTCCATAAGAATGTGCTCAGGACCCCAGGAAGCCTCCCAGTCATCAAGTGGAGCCTCTTTTGGCTTCCCTCACTCACCGTACACCTGCAGTTGGATTGCCCATTCTTGTTCTTCCCCACCTATCCACAACACCTGCAGGGTATAGGTGCTGCTGTCGTTTTTCTGGACCTTATTGATGAACAGCGTACCATGGTCATCAAGACGAACTCTGTCCTGAAGTTTAGATTCAAAGCGTTTAGTCTCATTGTTCCCATACCATTCTATAATCTTCTGGTCAGTGGCATAAATCCAGGCGAAAGATGTGTATCTACCAGGCACAAGCATGGTGCCACTCAGGTTCACATTGTGTCCCGCAATCACGTTGATTTCATTTGCCAAATCTGAAGGAGCTGTCAACCAGATCAGAGAGACACAGAGAGAGACCGACGTTAGAGAAAGTGGTAAGGACAAGTGACCCAGACTTCAAGGATTTTCTTTTAACATTTTATGATTCATTGTAACTTATTTTTCCCATTTTAATTAGCATCATTTTTAGTCCTGTCTATCTTTACAATTTGGTGCCTGTTTTCTTGTTGTTAAAGAGTACTTCAAATTGCACAGGCTTTATGTTCCAACAAACCTTGCTTGTTTAAAGCAAGGAGAAGAAAAAGATTATCTCTAGAAGGTTCAAGAGGAAGAAAACATTGTTCTATGTTTGTGGAGAGAGGAGAACAAAATATATACATTACTGAAATGCATAACTATTGAGAAAGAATAGTAGAAAGAAGCTACAAGAGAGGAAGGAGGGCATTTGACCTATTTCACTTGGTCTCCTCTGCGGCTGTATGATGTCTTGCTCTTCAACATCAGATCTAGATCTGGGTCTGGTTGGAGATCTGTATCATCTATACCTATATCTATGTATCTTTAGAGCTCTTCATGCTCTGCAACACATATTCTTTTCCAAGACATAACCTTTTTGTTTTGTTTGGATCTCAACTTAAAATGTTTTATTTAAGAAATCCTCCCCTCTCTGGAGGATATAAAGACACAGTTCTCTATTTGCCCTATAAAACATGACTTGCCTAAAGTATAACTTTCAACACCAACAGATACAAATACCTGTATCTCCAAGGCTTTCAAGTTTCTCTTTACCCATTTTCCAACCAACTCATCTGCTCCTTCTGCACTTACCACGCGTCAGGTATGCATATACTTGTGTACTGATACAAGCAGGCATTTATTTACCCGGTGTTTTAAATTGATCTATATTTGCCCATTCTTCTCACACATTCATGCCAGTCAAAGGAAAATTTTGAACAACCACTGTGTCTGCGACGGGGCAGGGCTTTGGTTATCAGCAATGAGTGATACCAACAGTCTCTGACTTCTTGGAGCATATAGGCCCACAGGTTGGTCCCTCTAGGATTTTAAAATCACTAGACATTTTCCAGACACGCTCTCACCTTGGTACTTGTTTGTGTATGAATTACTGGAAGTCTGTGGTAATAAATGGCCTGAATCAGGGTTTTTCATCTTCTGCATTATTGGCAGTTTAGTCTGGGTAATTCTTCAATGGGGGGTGGGGGGAGGAGGGTATTCTGTGTATTTTAGAATGTTAAACAGCATCCTTGGCTTCCACCCACCAAATTCCAATAGCATATCTCCAGGTGTGGCATTCAAATTGTCTTCAGACATTACCAAATGTACCCCAGGGAAAAAATTCTCTCCCTAATCGACTTGACAACTGACCGAGATCATCCTTGGCAAATTCTCCAATAGGTCTTAGGTATATCTTTGAGAAATAGCATACCCCACATTAATAAGTTGATCAGACGTCCCACTTTTGGCGAGACAGTCCCGATTTTTAACAATTTTTCCCGTGTCCCACGGCATTTTTAAAAAGTCCCGATTTTTGGAAAGAATGCACGACAAGCTAGGGTATACGGTTTTCAACTGCCATGTGGCTATTTCGCCAGGATATGTGTTTTATCAATGGTGTCCCGCTTTACCAATGTTAACATCTGGTCACCTTACACATTAATCACCTATTTATCTCTCATTAAAAGACACAGCTAGTCACTATGGTCACTTTCCTTTTAGAATCACAGCCACAAAAGTGGTTAAGGAAGGAGGGGGAGGGGCAGAAAGATATACATTCTGTGCTTGCTATATCTTAGGATCCATGTTATAGTGAAATGATCTTCTTAACATCTACTACCTGCCTCTAAAAGGTGCCCTGGTGGTGAGGTAGGTTACACAATTGGGCTACTAACTGCAAGGCCAACAGTTCAAATCCATCAGCTGCTCTGAGGGAGAAAGATGAGGCTGTCTGCTGTCATAAAGATTTATAGTCTCGGAAACCCAAAGGGGCAGTTCTACTCTGTCCTATAGGGTCATTGTGAGTTGGAACGGAATTGATGACAGTTTGGGTTTGGTTTAGGTTTGGACCTGCTTCTATCACTAGAGTGTAAAACACTCAAACACACACACACACACACACACACACACACACACACACACACTAGTTTTATGAATCTTATTCCCTTTTGCTCAAAACACCATGTTGAAAAGTATAAGCTCTAGAATCACACTGCCTCATTCAGGCTCTGCCTCTGCCACTTATAGGCTATGTAAACTTAAACATGTTAGCTAACCTCCACGCTTTTGTGGTTACATCTTTAAAATGAATTGCTGATAGTATTTCTCTCATAGATATTGTGAAGATTAAATAATTGATGCAAAAATTCTGACAGTAATACCTAGAAGATTAATAGCCATTCAATAAAGAGTATATGTACTGTTATTGTTTCATTATTTTTATCTATGTCCTTTTTTTTTTTGTATCAACACCACCTAGTATTATGTCTAAAAATATTGAGAGACTTAACAATTCCTGGTTGAACTTACTTTATTGCACCAAATACAGTGATAAAACAAGTAAAATAGGGACTAGACTAATAATATATTTTGTGGACATGAATCAGAATTTGAAAGAGTGAAAAATGAGGAATAAGGGGCCTAATGAGTAAGCATTCATTTGTAACTTTATGGCCTAAAAGTGATAGATATCAGTACACTTAGGAAATAACATAAAGCCAGATTACTGGTCTAGGGTATGTGATGACAAAGTAAGAAAAGCCCCAGTATCATTGTAAGACCAGAAACTGTCCCTGAAGCTTCGCTGTGGTAAGAGGGATGAGAAATTGAGTATTTTGATTCACATCATGGACCAGAAGCAGGTATAATTTACATCCTTTCTTTTTACAGTTATGGAGTCCACTCTATCAGAATAAGAAGATTTGGCAAAGGGGTCCCGAACCTGCTCAGAACTTCAAATAGAAGCTGGAGGGAAAGGGGAGAAATTGTAGCAGACTCATAATCACTAAGACAGTAAACATCTCAGTCGTATCCCCATAGTACTAGGCTCATATTTTGTAATTATCACAGATTCAGCAAATAAATGAATGATTGAATGGATGCGTGTGTAACAAGGACACAATGTATACACACATGTTCTCAACTGTCTTTCCTCCATTACTTCATGCCAGGCAAAAGTGTGTTTTACTTCTCTCTCTTCCCTCTTTCTTAAGAATAGTGTAGCCTGAAAAGGCAGGGGGGAAGCAAACAAGGGCCACTCAGGTTGTGCTTAAGAAAAAGAGGTGCTATCACACAAAGGCTCAACAGAATGGGAGTTTCTGCATAGTGGCTGGTTAGGAATCGTTTGAAAATACGAAAGAGGGCAGGAAACAGGATTATAAGAAATGTTCCACAGACAAACTATAGTCTCTTGAACTCTTCTACAAACTTTCAGGTAGAGATTTGAGCTATAATTAATTACTTTTAACCAGTAGACTGTGTTTTTTTTAATCATGATATTGTGTCTAAACCAGGCCAGTGGTGTCCTAAGTAAATGAATAAAAGATAACTAATGAGACAAAAAAAACAACAACAAGCAAATCTTAGAAGAACTATAACCAAAATGCTCCATAGATGAAAAGATTGTAAGACTGCATCTCATTGCCTTTGGCCGTGATTCCAGGAGGGACTGAGCATTCCCTGGAGAAGGACATCGTGTTGGTAGAGGGTCAGTGAAAAAAAGGAAGCCCCTCAACAAGACGAGTTAACACAGTCATACCAATGGGTTCAAAGACGGCAGCATTTGTAAGAATGGCAGCATGTCATCCTACTGGACACAGGGTTCCCATAAGAACGGACTCAGTGGGACCTCACCACAGCAGTGTGGCCTAGAAAGCTGAAGAGTAGGGGAAAGTTGCCCAAGAATTCCCGAAAGAAACAACATAGGAGGGTATAGAGAATAGCCCTCAAAGTTCCACATATCTATAAATATCTCTAAGGACTCCTGGTGGCATAGTTGTTTACAAGTTGGGCTGCAATCCACATAGTTGGCAGTTTGAAACCACCAGCAGCTCCACAGGAGAAAGATGAGGTAGGCGTTCTACTCCCAACCAATTACAGGTCTCAGAGACCCAGAGGGGGTCAGTGAGTTTGTTGTTTTAAAATAAATATCTTGAATCCCTATGAGTCAATACAAAGCATATAAACTTAACCTTGAAATGTATACTCAACAGCTTCAGGAGCCTCACTTAAAGATGCTAAAAGGAAAGTGAATTTTATTATGAAATATCTAATTAAATGTGGGTTTTGAAAAGCAGTATAAACCTGTAGAAGCAGTAGAAAGAATGCTTGGCTGACCATAAAAAATATAATCTAGTCCTGAGAATATTCTATACTCACAAATGGAAGAAACATGGAATAATTTTACTTATATAGATTACAATATTGATGCAGAAATATTATAATACAAATTGGGATTGAGAAAGGGTTAGATATTCTGCTAACATAATTCTCTAATTAATTCAGAGAGATAAATATACAGATTGAGGTTTTGACTATGTATAGTTATGTGGGAAACAGAAAGGTTTCTCCCAAGTCATCTCCCCCAAATATATGTTAGACTTAGGACACTGCTTGCAGCTAATGGTAAATGATTGTTGAGGTAGTTAGTTTATTGTGCCAACCTGGCTGATAAACACATGTAGGATTAATCAAAGGGCAGAGAGATAAGTGGCTCTGTGAGCCTTGCCTTTTTAGTCTCTTGCTCTTTGATCATCAGACCACAGTGCAGCTGCCTTGCTTGTTCTTTGCCTCAATTTGCAAGCTACACTACCTGTGGGACACCTAACCCGTTGACTGTGTTGCTGTAATTTGAAGTTCCTTCAAGACCTGCTTTGCCACGCCATTGGATTTTATATCTCTTGAGCTGGGGACTGTCGGACACTGTCATCTGGCTGGCTGTTGGTGACCTGCCTTGTTCTTTGCTGCCTGTGGCCAGATAGCCTGAATTGCTCTACAGAGGACTACCCAGCAGCCCTCAAGACTTGAAAGA